GCCTTTCTCTTCGCAAAGCAAACGTGTGCGTCAGCAAATGTGTTTTGGAGTTTACTGTGAGAATCTGTGTGTGGGTGTGTTTGAGTGTGTGTGTGCTTGAGTGTGTGTGAAGGTCGCTAACAAACATCCTCAAACATTATTTAATTAAGTATGGATTCATTAATCCATTATAATTACCCAAAGCATAAGAATAATTCATTTGATTAAAACACATTTATAATGAGCAAAATGATAATGATTATTCTTTAACATTAAAATCAAGAAAGAAAGTTTAAGACTTGTTATGACTACATTTCCTGGGAACACATCTTCTGGTCCTGCAGGTGTTCGGATGTTATGGTTTCCAGCAGACTCTTGCAGACTTTATGTCTGCAAAGGTCTCAAACTGTGGGTGAAAGCTCTCAGCGACCCAGCTATTGACCCAGCCGAGTCAAATGACCTTTTGCACAGAAAACCCATATTTCCTCACATTACAGCTACAATGAAAATGAAGAAATACACAGTAGCAGGATCAGCGCAGTTTCCGTTATCAACAAAAGGGGCAAACTGGTTACACACACACACACACACACACACACACACACACACACACACAGAAAGGGCACAGTGGTGGGGTGGGTTGGAAAACTGTAGGTGTGAGCAGAAGTATTAGTTGAAAATTCTCGCCTGATGTGAACAGAAGAGGAGCGAACAGCGCACGAATTTCGTGAGCGATCCACTTTGCGGCGCTTCGCAGCTGGTGTGTTCTGGGCGTTAGGCTCCCTATTGAGCCTTTTATGACAAGAGTCTGACATTTTAGCCTCATAATTTTGTAGATTTATCTCATTTATGTTTGTGCAACAGACCACGGTCTCGTTTCACTTGAAACATGTCAAAATGGAATATTCGATTAATTAGAAGATTCAATAGAATATTCAAATCCAATTGCTGCAGTTCTATTTTAAACCTTTAACAGAACAGTTAACAAACAAGAAGACACAAAAACACAACCTGCCCAAAACCAAGGTACGTCTGACATGGTAAAAGTTTATTAGTACAACACGGTGGTGGTACATAAACAAGTTCATTTAACGATCATTCGTAAACTTGTTTTTTTTTTTTTTGTGAACATAAACCAAACTTGCACGTATTTTGCCTGATGAATAATAAAGTGAGCTCTCATTCTGGCATGTAAACGGGTTTCTGAATGACACTCTTCAACACTTTGAGAGCTCCAGATCTCCACGAAGCTAAAGCCTTAGCTAAAACATCCTGTTAGCCACACAGTTTATAAAAGTAGAACACGAAAATGCGACTATCATACACGATAGCGATCGGCGAGGCATCTACTCTTCTATGTCTATGCCGTTGAGGACGGACCTCTAATGAACAAATCTACACTAATTTGAACAAAAGAAAATGTTCTTTTCAAAATTACACAGACAAGACCATCTTAAGACATTTCAGAATCAGCTTTATTGTAAAGTACATGAGTGAGACTCACACTACCAGGAATCTGCTTTAGTGGTTGTTATTGTGTTTTAATTATATGAACTACTGGTGTTTGTCAATGTGTTTAAGTAATTGTAAGAACTACTTTTGGTTTTTAGAGATTGTAACAAATTTTTTGGGCTGGTGCTACAACCTTTTGTTCTGTGCTACAAAACCTACGACCTTCGTAGCACCAGTGCTATGAGCTGAAAACCTTAACGTACAAGCCTGAAATTATTAATATTCTTTTTCATTAAAGATCAGTTATCTGTGAACACATTTTTATATTTGGCATCATCCAGCTTAAGCAGACATCTGCTTATTTCTAACAGAGCTGAGCTGTGGGAGAAAATATTCAGGCTTATATAAAAGGACTTTATGGAGTTTTGAATTTTTATGCTCGCAATTGCCCCCTCAGGCCAAAAGCGTAACGGCAGCTTCAATAGTAGGCTTGTGCATGAGGCACGCATGCTGTACGTGCACACTCCTTAATGAAAATAACAGCTGAGACAGTCCTGTGTGTGTGTGTGTGTGTGGCCCGGAAGACAGAGGACAAGAGAACGCGCATTTAGAGAGAATTAGATCATTGAGCAGGAAGGTCTTATTGTTAACAGAGCGGGTATTTAATAGAGCCATGCTGAGTGAGGTGGAGGAATCAGAAACTACAAAAACAGCTGGAGTTAGTGGACGTAAGTTAGCAGGGTTAGATCCACGGTGTTTATAAAAACCACTTATGGAGGGAACAGGAGGAGAAACCACTGAGGAATGAGGATAAACCGACCTTAAAAAACTTGGACGGATGAACCGCGTCCCAATGCATCCTGGCGGGAAAGCGGAAGTGGCGCTCAGGTCACCAAACAAAGGACAAGAAGCTAGAAGATCGCGCCGATGTTTATTAGATAAACCACGCTTTAAGAGAAGTCTTATTCTCACCTGGATTCCTGCTCGTTTACCTCTTTTCCTCCGACGTTTTCCCGGGACCGGACAAACATTGCTAGAGGTGCGCAGCTCTGGATCGTCGTTTGGTTCCGGACCAGTGCGCCGCTCAGGTAAACAAACAGGATGATACGTCCTCGGTGCATCTTCGGCGATCGTGAACGAACGGAAGGACAAAAGAGTCTGGCGATCATAGGAGATGGCAGCAGGGACACTACTGAAGAGGACCGCAGACAGGAGCAAGGTGGAAAAGAGGAGGTTAGTGGAGAAAAGTTTGAAAAAGTGGCCAGTGACCACTGCTAACCCAAGCACAGGCACCATCTTGTTGCCGACCGGAAGCGGAAGTCCATGAAAGTTGAACCCACATCTTTTTTACCTGTGAATTCAATGATGTTTGGCGAGTCTCAAATAAAAATTTGGGCATCTTACCGTAAAAAATATACCATTAATGTAAAAAATAAACTCTAACTAAACCATATTCACATACAAAATTGAACCTGGGTCTTCTGCACAACAGTCCAACGTCTTACCAGGTGAGCTAAAGCACCAGCAATATCTGTGGTATCTGTAACATTTATATCCTTGATGACAGCTGACACAACGTTCAATGAACAGTTCGGAGCGAAAATGGCTATTTTGTTGCTAATTTGCAGGAAATATCTAGAAGAAAGTAGCTAAGGGTCCTCAGAAATGTAGCTAGATTCATCACTAGGTGTTAGGAATAGCGACAAAGTCGCTGAGTTGGCACTACCTCACTCTCTGCTGCTAAAGCTACTGATAGCAAATGCTACGGGCTATGCCTGAGCGTGAACGCGCATGAAGCAGCCTGCTCGACCCGAGCAGCTCTCTTTTTCTGTGATTTTACAGAAAAACAGGCAATCACAGTAAAAAAGCCAGGGCTCATTCTACAGGACCAGGGTATTGCAGGAGAATGTATGAAGAAGAAATGTATTATTTCTATACATGTTTTGGCTGTCAAACTTCCATAATGCCCCTTTAATCTTATTTTCCATCACCTGTGGGTTTAGTGCATTCACTTATTTTAATTATAAAACTATAAATAACAGGTCACTACAGTCTGGGCATAGAAAGTGTTTCTAACAAAAGCTTATTGGCTTTAAGTGTTTCTAAGAACTAAATCTTGTTCAGAAGCTCACCTTTTCCTTCCACACTGACTGGAGAAATCCTCTCATCAGCAGCAGGTGATCAACAGTGTACCACGAGTTAACACCGACCCGAAAAAAAAAAAAAAAAACGACAAAGCAGAGCTCTCCTTGTGTTTGTTTGCGTGTGTGGAAGGTTTGGGGTTTATTGTTTCCTTGAGTTTGTGGGCTGATTCAAAATGTTCCACTAAACTGATGACAACTCCTTTGCAGAACAAAGATGATTTAGATTTGTTTTCAAATTTTATTAGCAAAACAGAACTTTTACAGGCATCAAAAAACAACATGGGAGCAGAATTAGTGTTCCACCAGTCCACTTTCACTAAGAAGGCCCAAACAGGCTGACAAACTGGCGCTGGAGTGTGTGCACATCAATGTTTGAGCCAAAACAGGAGGAGAAAAGAGACATGCCGTCACTGATTACTGTCAGCCATATTTGTCTCTTACAGGTGATTCAAGGTTTCCCAGTGATTCACGTCTGTGCAGAGACTACGAGCCTAAGGTGGTGTCACTATTCTTTTTCTCGCCACCTGCATCCCCCCTTTTCCTCTTATTTCACTCCTCCTCACCATTCATCTTTTTGTCTGTCCACCGTCTCCTTCCTGCCTGCTAATTGTCGCTGTACAACACCCATTATTTCTCCACTCATCCTGCAGAAGTTCTCCCTGGGCCAACACACCTCTGCAGCTTCTCATGGCCCATGTTGTTAGACCTCCAGGATGTTAAAAAAAACTCCTAACACACCCAATTCCACCTGCGGGCCAGGGCAGCCCGACAGGGGATTTCACCACCCTGATGACGGAGCACACTCTTCCTTCCTGAACCCACATAAATCTGTCGGTGGCTTCTGTCCTGTAGTCTGATATTAAAGCTGTTTTCCATCACACATTGCTCTGCAGGGAAGGGAAGGGAAAGCTATTGTTGACTAACATGATGGAAGCTTAAGCTGTGGTTACACGTCACTCTTCCTTATTATAAAAGCCATCTGACCTTTTTGTCTCGTTAAGCTGTTTTCACTGAAATGTTATTCTTAAATCAAGCATGTTGTGCAAGAGTTGCCAATGCACTGTTCACACTCTTGTTATTGATTTATAGGCCAAACCCTGTCAGATTTGTTCCTGCTGTGTGTTTGAGCTTCTGTTTAGCTGTGTGTAAATTCTACCTTGACTTCTCTTCTTAGAAAAATGACAAGAGTGGACTTGTAAGGACATTACAACTGAGCCAAGGACCTCTGTCATCTCATACTCAGAGGAGCAGAAACTACCATCCTTAGGCTATAATCAAACACACACACACACACACACACACACACACACACACACACACACACACACACACACACACACACACACACACACACACACACACACACACACACCTGCAGATTTACTATGTGTTGTTGGATTAGGGAATTCAGAGAACCACATGAGGTTTACGTCAACACTTTTATTAAAAACAATCACGGCTGAACATTTTGCATTTTAAAGTTCTGCAGTGAAAATGAAACTGTTTACATGAATAAAACAGCAGGTAATTTTAATAAAACAAAAATAAATATTAATTTGCTAATATTAGATGCAACTTTAAGATGACGAACAGTGAAGAAACCAGTCGATTTTTTTGTTATGTTTGTTCATTCAGCAGTGGGACATTTAGTTAAAAACTAAAACGATTCTTTGATGACTAGAGCATACAGTGATTTAAACTTCCTGCTGCAGTCAGATTCAGGTCAGAAAAGTGTTTCCAGCATGTGCAGCATTCTGCAGACATGTATTCAAACCTATCTCTGTTTGACAGTTGTAGTGTTATGTCACAGAAACTCTTTACATTCTTTCTGAGTCTGATCTCAAGGGCTCACCAAAAGGGTTAATACTTGCTACAGTACATCAGGACACAGAGGGAAGGCTGTGCTCTGACTCCTCCAGGTAGCCCACTTGCCACGGAAGTCCAAGAGTGTGAGTTGGCTCCACAAAGTTGTCCAGATATCCCTGAGAACAGGAGGCCCACATCCCAGGCTGACACCCCAACCCCTCACACACCTGAGGGTAGTGCAGTGGACTAGGTCGGTGATCGTCTGGGCTGCTGCAGTGTCCGTGTGAAGGGTGGAAGTGTCCCTCAGTGGGATAACAAGGGTAGTGTGGTGACGGTGGACATGATGACAAAGTGTTCTCCATGTAAACATGTGGATCCATGGAAAAATGGTGCATGTGGACTCCTTGTTGTGGCTGCATCTGTTGAGAATGAGATGCATGCCAAGGGATGTAGACTTGATGCTCCAAGCGGGGAAGAGTAACTCTGGTCTGCTCTAGTCGGGATGCTCCCATCACAGCTTGTCCCCCAGATGGCCTGTGGCACTCCCGATGCATGCAAGGCTTGTTGGGAGGATTTGAACTTAGAAAAACTGAAAGAGCAGAGATGCGATTGATAGCCCTTTGAAGTGTGGCAATTTTAGAAAGTCGTTTACCATTAAGATCATGATTCAGCGCAACACGAAGAGCATTGAAGGCTTGGTTGTAGTCCAGTATGCGCTTTCGCTCACGTACATTAGCAGCCATCCTTCGAGCTTTTGAGCGAACTGGTCGATTGCGCTTTTTGGTCTGACCTTCCTCCGGATCGCTGGGGCTGTTAGTTGAATTCTCGCTGTCTTGGAAAGATGCCTTGGAAGTTCCCTCATCGTCACCGTGTCCCAGCATGTCAATCTCAAGGTCTTCCTCTGAAAACTCAGAGCCTTCAACGCTGCTGCAGCTCATTGTGTAAATGGATCCTCTACACAAATCAGTGCTGGTTTGTCCTGATAATTTTGCAGATACTGTGATGAGAGGTTGATCCTACAAGCACTCCCTCAACTTTCTGGGGGGCTGTCGTGGTTGCTGCTGCCCTGACAGCCCAGACAGTTTCTTCCTCTGACTCCTCGGTTCAACTGTGATTACTTGTACCTGAAAAAGACAGGTTGGTCTGCTTTTTAAAGCTCTTGAAGTCACATGGTACAATCACTTGTGAGGAATGATGCACTCCTCTCGTTTTCCAGGTTTATGGGTGGCCTGCGGGGAAATGGCACTGTCACCTCCTCCTCTTACTGCTCTGACTCTTCCTCACATCATTCAAAGGCGTCGTAACCCCTGATGTCTGAAAACATGTACCTTTATACCTGAATACTTTTTAAAGTGTGTCATTCATCTGCATTACATGGTTAAAATCTTTGTCTTTATTATAATTTTTTTTGCCAAAACATTTAAAATAATTGAGTAGTTTTGTAAATAAAAAAATAAAAATGTATTAAATTACATAAAGCTAATTGACATAAGTGTGCAAGACCTCAAATTCACCATTATATATTGTGCTCCATAGAAGTATTGATTAGAATTTCTTTACTTAATAATGGTTTGTCTGCAGTTATCCACGAACCTTCTTATCTCTTGCAGGTTGGACTCATCCTGGCAATTAACTGCTTTCAGAGTGGCGATTCAGCCTCTTGCTGTCTCTCTTTGCTCTGCTTTAAGGGCCGTGTAATTTAAAGTAGCTGTCCTGGAACCCTTCCCCATAAATCAGGAGTTGGCAGCCCCCGAGGACAAGACCAAAGTGAGCCTTAGACTTCAGAAAGGGACAAAGAGTAAAAATTTCACAATTAGACCCTGTGATTACTGCAGGCCCTGATAAACAGTCAATGATGAACAAGAGTCTGCTTCTAGACCTGCAGAAGGAGAAAAAAAAGAAGGGGACACACAACAATACAACAAGAGAAAGCTATCACTGCATCAACCTGATGAGGAAATATAAAATAAACATTGTTTTACTGAACAATCATACAATAATAAATCACAGTGCAATTAGGGCCAACCACAGCCTTAAGACATGTGTCGAACGTGCCCAAGTCTATACTTATGAGCACCATGTGAGCACCTGTGTGCATACCTGCGCTTGTATATGTAAGGTTTCTCTATAGGAGCGTCCAATAGAGAATGTGAGGAGCCACAGATCTGTCCCCCAAAGATGTGTAGGAAATGGAGGGAGCTCCAAGTCCCAGAGATCCAGGAGCTACCCTAGAGCACAGGGACCCCAGGTAGACTGTAACCAGAAAAGCCCATGCCCCCTGATGAACCTAATCAGTTAGATTACAGGCTTGTCTTGAAGACATAAAAAATTGGATTACTCTAAACTTTCTAATCCTGCCTGTGGGGGTAATCTCCAGATCCAACGTCTCCTCCCCTCATAAGGTTTGGTGAAGCAGACTCATTTGGACTCTGAGAGTCGCTTCACCAGCGTTTCTTTGACAGGGTGGGGCCTACAGTCACCCACCAGTCCACGCAGGGACACAGAAGAAAAATGAAGGTCCAGAAGCGTATGGCACTCAAACACCAGCAGAGAGTCAGCAACATGGCTCATTAAACAAACAAACAAAAAAAAAAAACATTAAAAACACAAGCAGTATTTGCAGAGAAAGACGGCCAGCCAAGCCCACTGGCACCATCTTGAACCAGCAAACAAAACCTGCAAACCTCTAAAACCTGTAAGGTGTTAATGGTTGTTTTTTGGACATCTGTCAAGTCAGCAGTCTTCCACATGACTGTATAGCCTACAGAACTAGACTGAGAGACCATTTAAAGGCTTTTGCAGGTGTTTTGAATTCATTAGCTGATTAGAGTATGGCACCAGGGGTCTTCAATATTGAACCATTTCACAATATTCTGAAATACTGGATTTGGGATTTTCATTCGTTGTCAGTTACATTCATCAACATTAAAGAAAAAAAAAACATCTGAAATATATCAGTCCGTGTAACGAATGAATCTATTATACAAGTTTCACTTTTTGAATGGAATTATTGAAATAAATAAACTTTGTCATGATTTTCAAATTTTATGATGAGCATCTTTAGATGCATGAGACTGATTTTTACTGTTAAAGTGAACAAACAGCTAGCTGAAAATGAATCTTTAAAACATTTTCTGATGTATGCTTTTAAATTTTGTAACTTAAAAAGCACAAGAAGCTCAAAATAAACAAATTTGTTTTCTTTTTTTGTTGCAGTTTTTGCTATAAACGTTCTTCGAATGTCTACTCTCTGTAGCTGTTATGGTAACAGTATTCCACACCAGTATCGTGTTTCTAAGCTCAAATCTACAGAAGCTTTGAAGATGTTACAAATGACCAAAGACAACTTTCTGTCATCCTCTAAACTTCTGGCTCTACATTAGCCACAAAATATTAGGCTGGCAATTTAGAATTTCAGTGAAAGCAAACGCTAGCATGAGTAAAACCTTTAGTGCAGCTCGTGTTTGTAGACATTGAATAAAGTGAGATGATCCTTCTCACTTGTGTGACTATGAGCTTCTGATTGTTTTTGTTGTGGTCAGGGCTGCCAACTTTTGAACATTTTAAAGAGTGAGACGGGGTCATGGGGTTGGGAGCGGACAATTCGCCGATCGTGTGTGTGTGTGTGGGGGGGGGATTAATATTGAGACTTTTTGTGCTCTATATTTTATCTATTTATTTATTTTCTGTATGGAAGAGGATAAGAGCCACTGACAAGAAAAAAAAAGAAAAGAGAGAATTCTCTCATTTTTCTCAGAATTCTGACTTTTAATCTCGGAATTCTGACAGGGAATTCAGGGGGAAAAGTCAGAATTCTCTTTATTTATTTATTTTTTCAGTGGCCCTAATCCTCTTTCGTACCTCTGAATATAGAGAGGGAACTGACCTTTGTTTAATACAAAATTTATTTTCATGAGGACAATTTAACATCCAACTCTCCTGAACTTCTTCACTCTATGTCTGTCTGTCTGTCTGTCTTTCAGCCGTAAAGAGTTACAGCTACATGTCACAAATGGAACTTTTAATTATAAATAATGTAAATGATTTAAATTTCCATCTAGGGGTGGGCAATATCATGTCATTCATAATATTACCAGTTATTATTTCCTTCCAAGAATAAAAATCTATCATGCTAAGCTAACTTCATGATGTAGTTGCATCCACTAAACAGGATTGTGTTCATGTAGGTCATTAGCATAAAGTTATTGAAGTTATCAAAGCAAACATGGCTGGAATCAGTTTTACCTGTAATCTGTGTCTCCAAGTGTGTGTGCTGCTGTAATGAGTGGATGTCCCCACTGTGGGACTAATAACATTTACTCTATTCTATTATACCGTAAATCCTCTAATATTAGCCTGTATTTAATTAACTGCCGGGTATCATATTTTGGCCGGTGTCGGAGTCGGTGAATAATGGCCGGTTTTTTATTGCGGCCGGGTGGAATGTGGTAACAAGCAAGTACGGGGGGCAGTTGTGTCATCCGTCTCACTTTTGATTTGCCAGTGATAAACTGGAAGGTAACTTTAACCGTGCAGAGACGAAGAGGAGGCGAAAATTTGATATCAAGTTCAAAGAGAACGTGCTGATTAAGCTGCAGAACACTCTGTGGAGCAGTGGCAGGGGTTGTATGAACTAGTCACTAGTCGACTTCACTATAGTGACTTTTTATGCCTGTCATCGACTAGTCGCTGTCACGTGATAATGACCGGCAAGATGCAGTCCACGGAAAAGACAGCAGCCTGCTGTCAGCAGGTGACAGGTGATGCGCCCCGATCCACAGCAGCGAAACGCATCAGGCACAAATAAAAGAATAAAAAAACAAAAAACATAAAAGGAAATGAGCCGACATGAACGATCGCGTGTTAAATTAGTTTTTGAGGTTGCGACACCTGATTTGATAATGTTACTGTGGCCGTGCTCAGGACGCAGATGTCTGGAGCGCGTCAACAATCAGAGCTTTGCATGCGCAAGCTGGTTAAGGTTAGGATGGGGGTGAGGGGAAGGTTAAATTGCAAGAGGGTAAACGTCACAATTTGGTTAAATGTCCGTTTTACGCTGGCACAGCGCGTTGCCTCCCGTGGCCGGCAAGCAGCGCGCACTCCGCTGTTTTTGCGGTCGGTAGATCTTTTAGAGCTGCAGTTCAAAGGTAACTCATAAGGTGAATATATATGAACCCAGGAAGCAGTTTTTCTTTAGGATTGAGAGGAGATGCAGGAAGATAATAAACAGGCAGGACAGAAAAATAGTCAAATAAAAACAAGTTAGTTTTTGTACCTGGTGGTTGCAACAAACAGACACCATTGAACGTAATCAGAAGTGAGGAACAGAAAATGAAATAATTATTTTAATGTTTAAAGCAGCAGGAACTCCGAGAGGCTGCAGGCGCATCAGTGAGTTTGCGGCCACTGCGCAGGGGGAGAGGGCTTAAGCAGAAACTACCGTTGTTAAAAGAAATGTGTTTAACTTTGAAAATGTGGGCGCAATTTTAATTGTCAAAAACTCCAGCGAACCATTAGTTCATTTTGCTCAAATAGAAATTGAGGCCTGCCTCTAATTCTGGCCATCCTTCCAATAAAGGCCGGGAGCTTGATGAGCTTGAGTCAAATACATACCCGGGCCTGTATTAGAGGATTTACGGTATTAATTCATATCAGCCAGTAGGAAAAAAGATGTTTGAGGAATTTTGGCCTTTCCAGGCTTCCGTACCAGTAACCTGGCTATGGAGGAGGGGTTCGTCTCACAAACAGGAAAAATGCACTGGTGAAGCGGTGAATTAAAATACTAGGATTTATAATGTTTTAATTCACTGTGTCACCAACTAATGTAGGAGAGAGAACATGTGAATGAGTCACCACGGTAGGAAGCCCAGCTTGCTGTAAGCGAGGATCTGTGGCTGATGAGTGAAAACAAAAGAAAAACATTCGGGACTGAAGCTTTGTCAACACCGGCTGACGACCGCGACGTGGCTGCATTCATTTTGGCAGCGCGCGCAGCTGCAGCTCACGGTTCTAGGAGAAAGAACCGGGCATGCCCGTCCCATCAACAGCAGGTGGAGCTCACCGCTCCGCCCATCTCACAACCAGAGCGGAAAAAACCCATCGGCTTGGGTTATACAGATGGGATTCTGTGTGTGAAATAAAGCCAGTTAAATTATTACTTAAGTGTTGTTTGTGTGCATGTTGTTTAGTAGCTAAAGCTATAAATACTATCATGTGGTTTTTTTCATAGGCCCTACAAACTGTGCGTGATGCGCTTTTGGGGAGCGCAGGCACTGGTTTAGCGTGAGAGATTGGAGGTGTGGCGTGAGACAGTGTGAAGAGGGTCAAATGCGTGTGTCTCACGCTCAGTGCGTGAGAGTTGGCAGCCTTGGTTGTGCTACATCTTGTTTGTGGGGATACATCTCTCGTTCACATTAACAAGCTGAACCACAAAAATGTTGTTTGGTATTTCATCGGTCTCATCTACAAAGCTCCACAGCTGCTAAACGGCTTGCTTGCGACACCATTTTCCAGCTAATATTTTGAATACTTGTATAGTTAAACAGTTTTAAATGTTCAGCCCATGTCACTCAGCTGCAAGGAGATTAAGGGCTTTATCAGAAGTAGAGGTTTATGACTTCACAAACATGTCAGATTTACTGCTCTGGTGCACAAAGCATGAAAACTGAAGCCTCGGACGCTCCCTGTCCATTCATTTTGACAGGTAAAAAGACACTAGTAATTATCAGCCGCCAAGAATAAATCACACAGATTTTATCATGCTGTTAGCCATGCCCTTGATGAAATAACCATTTTCAAGGAAGGGAAACCTGTCCAACTCCACTGAACCTAAGATTTGTAAATCTCCTGCTCTAGCCCCCATAATGACCGGTTGTTAGGTGTTCATTATTAGAGGTCTGTGAGCCAAAAGTTATAGAAGTATATTCCCAAAGGGGTAGTTATGGGTAATAAGTGAGTAAGCCCAGGTTCGCTAACCTTGGCTTTGCACTGGTATGTTAATGCATGTTTTTGTTGTTGACACGGAATTTTCTCACCTCACTAAAGTCCTGTGGGTTAAAAAAATCTGGAAAAGTCTGAAAAACTTGTATATCAATAAAAATTTAACACTATGGTTGTGATGATGTAGGGTTTAGGCACTAATGAAAGTTCATGAAACACCATGAAACACATCTCCACCTCCCAGTCAGTCAATCAATCAATTCACTTTATTAATCCGTTAGGAATGTCATTCGCAGTGAGAGCGTCAGCACAACACATAAAAGCAGCATCAAAATGCACGTACACGTATAATAAATTTAACAGACTCCTCACATCTACATACACTTAATTAAAGGAATTTAAAAAGTAATACGATAATAAAAGATGACCAGTTCTATCTAGATTTACCGTAGTGTTGGTCACAGTCATTTTTGCTGGGGCATGCTATTTAACGGGCAGATTTAAGAGGGATGGAAGCTGGAGGAAGCCCTTTTTGTCTTCACTGGTAGGGCCCTGAACCACCGGCCTGATGGTAACCGGGTGTAATGGGAGTGGAGAGCATGTGATGGGTCTGTGGAGATCTGTGTGCCTTTGGACCCAGTACAGCCATCAGGTTCTCAGCACAGTCTCTCGGGTCACTTCTGGCCCAAAACAAGTTTCAGGAATAATCCTCCATGTTTTAAATACAGCTTATATTCTCCGTTTCTGTTCCTAGTCATTGTGAGTATCTGACTCAGTCACAGCAAAAACAAGTTCACCGATTCTGCATTATGTGACATGAACATGAGACGTTTACAGGGTGGGGTATTAACAAATTCAAACCTAAACTTCAACACAGATGTGAGCTCAGCATCCTCCTTTCATACCTGATGTTGACCAGTGGGAAATTGTTGTGTTTCAGTAGAATTAAGTTGCATGATTTAATTCATTTTGGCAGTTTTTGTTTATATTTGCATGATTTCTTATGTTTTGTTGCAATTTGAATGGGAGCTGGCTAAGAGGTAGAGACGTGCCCAGGACGGTGGAGTCTCGGCAGGGACACGTGGACCCGACACAGATCAGCTCACTGGCAAGCTATGGGAATGAGTGCATTGATCCAAGCAATCAAAAACCCAGAGCACAGTCCTGGAGGATGGATGGGCGGCCTACTGCAGAGGAGCATGGGTGTCCCTCTCTCCACATGTGTGAGCGGCGCAGAGCTGGTGCCTCTGTGTCCGGTCAGGGCCTTGGGCCGAGGAGGGCGATGTGCCTAAAAAGCACAGCTGTGCCAGGGAGCTGCAGAAGAAAAGG